TGACAAACAAAATCATAATTGATCATTGTTGTTTACTTTTAAATGATTTGATATGATTATAATTAGTGGAAATACCCCCTTTCTCACTTGGAAGGTGGAGCAGAATGGGATCCAAACTCAATGATTGATATGAATCATTTATGAGCTCAACTAGACTCGCATATTTTACGGGGATCAAGCTATCCCATCCCATCAAAAAAGGGTCGACATGGTCCCTAACGATGTCATACCTCTGCAATTTAAAGTTAGATCTAAGTATGAGTGTGATACTTTGTTATCGTGAAAGTTAGAGAGATTTGAACATCAACATAGAATAATTTGTAATTGAAATTAGTTACAATAATGTAGTTATTGCTTTTTATGGGTTTTAAACTTTCGACAGTTGAATGCTTACTGGAGGCAAAGTGTCGAGAGTCCTCGTCCACCCCGCTTTCTGTTCTTTTGAAATAAAGCTCACATACTATAGAAACTATTTGTTTATTCGAAAAATAAGATTTAACAAAATGGATTTACAATAGTGAAATGTACCATATGTAAATATTCTTCTCCGTGTTGGTTCACTCTCTCAGAAAATGGTGAATCACTTGAACATTTGTCTTTGAAAGAGTATAAGACACTGTTGTAATTGATCTTGATCGGTCTATCAGTCCAACGAAGTCAATGTGCGAGATAAGAGACATGATGAAATTCACATATTATTTTAGAAATTAGACATAAAAATTTGGCATTGAAGGTAAATTCTATTAGTAATAAATATTAATAAGTTGGTAATTATTTTTATAATTTTATCAAACTGAAAACTAAAAAGAAATAGACTAGTGGGCCCACACTCATAATAGAAATCTGAAATAGCAAGTATTCTATGATAAGGATGCCTGCGTCGGTTTATGATACGCCATGTGAGCACCATAGACAAGGCCAAAAAATTCCAATAACCTTTAAGCAAATGAGACCCGGCCCACAAATTCTTGCCTCCTAAACAATGCGGTCCGGCAACAGAGATATCGATCGCCTAGAAATACGCCAATTGGCATGTTATCAAGAAGTAAATTGAAAGAAATAAATTTTATTTGAAAGTCATAAATCATGTTTATCTTGTGCGTGAACGTATTGGAAAGAAAAAGTTACGTAAAAGTAATTTATATCTATTTTTAAACTCAAAAACATGTGCTCGATAATCAAGTTTTCATAGTAGTGGAAAAATCATTGAAGGCTTGGACTTGTTTTGAGACGAGTTACGGTTGCATGAATTGCAATTTTAGCTCCCGAGGTTCTATTCCTCAAGGCAGACTTTTGCTCATTTTTAGGTTAGTAAGTATGAACAAATGACACGTACAAACGCTTTTATAAGCAGGGTGTTAGGGAAATAAATGCACATGATCATATTATTAGTATACTCTTTGACCAAATATGCCATACGTCTAGCTATTTGCGACCTTTTCGTACCGAATGGGTAGCTAAGAATTCTCATTGTGTGAAATTCTCACTTATTCGAATTTGCTCACCCCCATAGCAAGAAGTGAACTTCGCTTCAAAACGCATCAATCTCATTGCAAGAATAACCACGGCATCATCTCCTCATGGATGGATATTCACACGGTGCTCCCTCGCACATCTACTTGCAATAACTAATGCATACCGCACGCGATACCAACTTTCACCATATATGCCCCCATAAGCATTAATTCCTTGAATGGACAGCCTCTAGCCGTAGCCTCGCAGCTCCTCAACACTGTCAAAACAAATACACAATCTGAATCATTGTGTCCTACAATGTGCACTCCACGAAACCCCTTGAAAGGCATATGGACACATCTTCCCCACATCTTCCTTCATTGTGTTCTACAGCTTGTCGACACGATCCGTGGACTAAAATCTTTTCTCCACAAGAATGCGCATCATTGATCTCGCACAACTAACAATTAATATTCGAGCGGTCCCGTTTTGATACCAACTTTCACTGATTACAGGTTTAACTCCTGAGGTTCAATGCTTCAAGGAAGCATGCCCCTCATTCTTAGGCCGATAAACTCGAACAACTGCACACATGCACGCTTATGGGTAGGATGTTAGGGAAATATATACATTCTTTGGTAAAATAGGTCAGACGCTTAGCTGTGGCTAACTTATCATGACGAACGGCAAGATAGCATTCTCGTTGAATAATATATGGATTGAATCGAACCCAATCTTTTTTTCACAAGCCAGCTCGTGGACCAAAGCCCGTGAATCGTCTTTTTTTGGCACATTTTTATTGATTTATTAAAGAACTGAGGAGTAATGTTCGTCATTATTGCTAATGACCACCACCTCGCCGCCACATTGGGTGGTGATCCTCATCATTATTGATAAATAATGTTAATTTCAATCAATAAAGCCATGAGTACAAGAAAAATTTAACAGCATGCGTATCGATATTGACGTGGCAAAGTATAATTGGACTGCTTTTTTCTTTTCTCACATCTTATAATGATGTCGTGCCATGTGTTATCTATTAGGATTTTTTGTCAAAAAATTACTTATAGCACGATTGAATTTCAACATGATCTTCAATAGAAGAATGCATACTTCTCCGTCATTTAAATTGGTGGTACGAGACATAACATTATTCTTTTAACCATGAACATAGTCTATGTTTGATTCATATTAGTAAACACTTGATTCGGTTTTAATTCATACCTTTCGAGGGATCTACAAATTTTACTCACTTGTTCACCTTTATTTCTATTTAATATATAACTTGAATTTCGTTTATGAAAAATTATAATTGTTCTGATTTGATAAAAAAGAGCACGCGACACGTGCATAGCACATGTTATCCAGGGGAGCAAGAACTAACCGAAGCACGTGCTGATACAATCCATCACTTATTAATAACTGATGTACAAATCATTTGAGGATTTGGATTGTCAAATTTCAACTGGATTGAGTAATAGAAGAGTCAACTATCAGGTAGGTATTCCATCAATCGGACGGCCTGGATTGAGTACGGGTACATGGCTATGATGGAAGTGGTCCCATATGATTCGTGTATTGTGGGGCCTTTAGTAGCTCTCCAGCTGGTATTCGTCGGCACAGTAGCTCATCGCTGAGATAGCAAGAGATACTTTAATTTCAGCACTATTATTTTTTAAAATATAATTAATAAGTTAAATACCTCCATATAGTTTTATCTATAGAGACTACATAATTGACGTATCCAATCCACGTGGTGATAAAGCAGCACGAACATTCCTCTAAGAGTAAGAAATGATCAATCGTAATAGTCTGTATCAACGAGTGATTTCGAGTGAAGCTATGAGAAGACTAAATATCTCCCATGACATATTATGACTAAGTGCAGTTACATAAGTTCAGAGTAGTTTTCTCTTTTCACTCTACTCCCAATTTCTAAACGGATCAATTTATCTCTTTTTTTCCTTTGGTCGGAAGTGGCGTAACTCCCTACTAAATTTGTACTTCTTTATCTGCGTCTTTAAGAAAACTTGCCATTAGGTGTAGTTTTTCAAAAAAAAAAAAAAAACCTCGTCTTCTGCACGCATTCTAATGTGATGCACTTATCTATCTTTTGATCACGTATTTTACACGTACAATTTTAGTATTTATTTGATCTAGCTTAAAAATTTTGCTAAAAAGTCGAGATTAAGTGCTTGTTTGGTAGGGATTTTTGATAGAAAAATTGATTTTGAATAGTGATATGATGGGGAATGTGTGGTAGAAAAAGAAGAAAAAATTATTGATGTGATGAAAAATATTATTTTATTGAAATATTTTACACGTACAATTTTAGTATTTATTTGATCTAGCTTAAAAAAATTGGTAAAAAGTCGAGATTAAAGTCACAAATAATTTTAAAGTACATATTATGATGAATCCACAACTTTTATCAACTTTTCAATTACACGTTTCGTCAGTTTTTATCAAATCTTTATTAAAAATTTTATCAAAAACTTTGTCAAACGATAGTGGCAATGAAGACCGATTTCAAACCTTTTATTTAACTCCGACAATATATTAACTTCTAATTTAAAGTCTTATATTGTTAAGTATTAAAGGTTCTCTTTTTCTTTTCTTTTCTTTAAAGTTAGATGGTATTGAACATCGTTAGTTGTGAGTGACTATTTAAAAATAGGATTGTCTATGGATCAATGAAAGTTTCATGAAATAATTGCAATTGTTTTAACTTAGCATATACTTTTGTGCCATTAAAAGGACAGCTCACAATCAAGCCCAGCTTCCAGTTCCTACTCACAGCCACAGCAAGAATTAGTTGACAATAGTGACGTATCGTCATGTTTGATACACATTCTTTTAAAATATATTATTTCATAATTCATTTTGAATCATAGATTTTTCAATAAAATGATATTTTTATCACATCAATAACTTTTTCTTACTGTTTAACCACATACTTATCATCATATCACTATTTAAAATACATTATTTCATTAATAATATCCATCAAACATAATTTGTCCCGATTGATGGTCACTGTGAGAGAAATCGAGAAAAAATGTGCAAAATATTTATTTGCGTGAATGTGATTGAAAATAAATATGAGAAATAAAGAATTTTGAATAATAGTAACCTACCTTCCCTAACTATGATTAATTGTTAAACCATGTCTTTCAGTTATAATAATTAAAGAAGTTAAAAAGGATTTAAGCTGCTATTTTCTCTAAGAAGTAAGAACACTTGAATAAAACTGTCTCTCTAGATCAGGGACCTCAACAACAAACACAAAGTTGAGGTTCACTTTTTTTTTTTGTTTTTTAATTCTTGATTGAACCCGTAAAAGAATTTTCATTTCTTGATGCCCAGAATAGATAATCTGATGACCTTTTCATCTCCAGGAATTTAGTGCCACTTTTCATATGCGGTGGAAGGATATGCCAATAAGCAGAAAAAAGTTGCACAAGATCCAAAGATAGTATTTTTCTGGGGTTTTTCTATCATATTTGCAGTTAGTGGAAGGGTGTTTTGGGGTTGAAGATTGGAAAATGATGGAATCAAGAATGGATCAATATGAGATCATGGAGCAGATTGGGCGTGGAGCTTTTGGTGCAGCCATTTTGGTAAATCACAAGTTGGAGAGAAAAAAGTAAGAATTGGTCAATCATTTCTACGAAATTTTGCAGGAAGACTTAATGAATTCAAATGCTGGATTTTTCCATTTTACTCATTTATTCTTGGAATAAAAATGTAGGTATGTTCTTAAAAAGATTCGATTAGCCCGACAAACTGAACGTTGCAGGAGATCTGCGCATCAAGAGGTACATTGATATTATTATTGATTTCCATTGATGTTCTTTTGCCTTTTTTTTTGATGATTATTGAGTAATTTGCAAACGAAATTTACTGGGATAATGGTCTGAATGTAAATTGTCAGTTTGTGCATTATGTAATCATGGATGGTTTCCGTTTCTTTAAGGTCTCGAGGGATTTACTCCCAATTTTGTGTTTTCTGCTTGTGTGCATAAGATACATTTTCTTTTCCAAATGTGTACTAATGCTAAATGAGAAAAGGTTAAATATGTATAAATTTGAATGTGTAGATGGCATTAATAGCGCGGATACAGCACCCATATATTGTTGAATTCAAAGAAGCATGGGTTGAGAAGGTAATAGTCATTGAAGCTTTTCCTTGCCACAACAATTTGATGGTTTCTTTTGATTCAGTCAATTATGAATTTTGTTGGAAATGTTATTTTTCGAACTGAACTCTCAGTATCTGATGCTAATGTAGGGTTGCTATGTTTGCATTGTTACTGGCTACTGTGAGGGTGGTGACATGTGAGTTTTGTACTATAAATTTTTAACTAGAATGTGCTCAATAATGTAGTTATTTTATGAGCTATGGATGATTGACCTTTAACAGGGCTGAACTGATGAAAAAATCAAATGGCCAGTGCTTTCCAGAGGAGGTATGAATATTTGCCACTAAAAGTATACACTTTTTTTGCTGACTGCAAATTTATGGTAAATAATCTTCTATTTTGTACTTATTTTCTCTTTGGGTAGTTAATGGAACTGTTTAATACGTGCCCTGTGCAGAAACTCTTGAAGTGGTTCACCCAGCTATTGTTGGCAGTTGAATATCTGCATTCCAATTTCGTTCTCCATCGGGACCTAAAAGTATAGTTCTTTGTTCATTAAATTGGTTATCTATAGATTCTCTGTTATGTTAAATGATTCTCTGGGCTGATTTCCATAGCATTTTCTCGACAGTGCTCCAACATCTTTCTTACCAAAGATCAAGATATTCGTCTGGGTGAGCTTGAGATTCATGTCTTTTGTTGACTTTAAAACTAGCCTATGCATACCTCTCTACTAATAATCTTCTTCTTCGCTTCTCGTTTTGTCGCAGGGGATTTTGGACTTGCAAAAACTTTGAAAGCAGATGATTTGGCTTCTTCTGTAAGTGCTTGCGTAGCATACACATTAACTATCTTTTTTTCCCCAGCGATGGAGTGAAGTACGAAAAGATGCCATGTTTCCTAGCATTTTCTGTTGGTTCTTTTTATTGTAGTCAATGATAATAGAATTCATGAATTAAAACGTAATTGACTGAATTTATCTTTAGGATATAAGTGTAAGAGTTCGGCAAATAAATATAATTGTGTAAAAATATATCATGAATATGACTTCGAGAAGCTAATCCTTGTATTGTTTTTCGTGCCCAGGTTGTTGGCACTCCAAATTATATGTGTCCTGAACTTCTGGCAGATATTCCTTATGGTTTCAAATCCGATATTTGGTCTCTTGGTATGTCTATTCTTATATTCCCCCTTCTAGAACATCAAAGCTCTGTGCCATCAGTGCCAAAGGTCATTGAAGTATCTATCCACATATCCTTGCATTTTGCTTTGGGACAAAGTACCCAGTTTGAACCTCTTGTGAGATGCTATTGGTTGCTTTGTTCTAATCCCACTTGAATGTTGTGAAAGTTTAATGATCATGGAGATAAAAAATTTCTATATATTTCTTAAAGTTTACTGCCACAAATTTTTTCTGCTTTTTCTCTACTCATATTTTCATTTTTTACCAGGTTGCTGTGTGTATGAAATGGCTGCTCATCGTCCTGCATTCAAAGCTTTTGTAAGATTTCCTCCCCTTATTTTAGTTTTTGCACATGTCTGTCCTAGTTTCTTTATATGTTGTCCCACTAACGAAGTTGTGAATTTTGGTCCCCTTCCCTTTCTTTCTGCTCTATTTTGTTTCTTTTGCATGCAAGTGTATATGTTGATATGTATGTCTATGTACCACGGTGTATATACCTTCTGCTAACTGAGCTCAACAAAACCTGGTCACTGTCTCGTTGAAAATTTATTGATAGTCAGAAACACATTTGTATGAGCACACCGGCACAGATGCTTGTCCATGCTCTTGCATTTCACCTAGTACTCGTATTTGAAGCTACCAGCCAAATGAGATAAACGACCTTTTGCTTTCATTTTTTAGTCCCATTTGTTGATACCTTATGCTTTGTCTAGTTCATTTGTCATATTTCAAGAGTATGGGGTTCCTCAGTTATTTCAAATATGTTTTAGTGCTTATGACATTTATGTTTCAGGACATGGCAGGCTTAATAAGCAAGATTAACAGATCGTCGATTGGCCCTTTGCCTTCATGTTACTCCCCATTCTTGTAAGTCAACTGTCCTCGGTGATTTATAGTACTTGAGCTGCTATTTCTTATGTACTTTTGTCCTTAAAACCACCCAATTGAAGGCAAAGTTTTTGCTTTTCCTCTGTGTCCTGATGATTGATCGACTTTGATCTTATTTTGAGCATGCCTTGATGAAATGTTCTACATTTCTTTATACAGCTGTAACTTATTTTAAAACAATCTGGAACATGTCTCATTCACAGGAAAACACTAATCAAGGGAATGCTTAGAAAAAATCCCGAACATCGGCCAACAGTAAGCACTTCTTGATATCAGTTTGCAAATAGTCGTATATACTATATATACTGATTATGAGGATATCGTTTTAACTATATGTTTCAATGTTATAGGCATCGGACATGCTAAAGCACCCGTATTTACAGCCTTACATTGATCAGTACCGCCCATCCTATAATCCTTCTGCTGCAAATTCACGTCAAAAACCTCTTTCTATAGGTCGAGACAGTCGGAAGAATATGGGTGAAAGCCAAAGTAGCAATAGTTCTTGCAGCGACAGAGATAGCTTGATGTCATCTGAGAGAAATGTGCAGGAGATTATTTTCAATAGCAACAACAAAGCCGTCAATACAGATTTGGCTTCTATTGATGATGATGACATGGCCTGCCAGCAGCTTCATCCGAGCAAGGATCAACAAAAAACCGACATGATCCCCGAAAATACCAAGGAACACGAGGTTACGAAAACACTGGAGGAAAGGAGATCTGACACTGAATCTAAGCAACCGAAAGCAATTAAAAACATTATGATGGTCCTTAAAGAAGAAAAAGCCCGAGAAAGCAGTTCCCCCATGAGAGGGAACCGTCCAAAAATTAGTGGTGCAGGTAACCAGAGACTTTCTACTGAAGCATCTCCCAAAGTCACCAAACCAAGTGCTTATAATTCTGGTCTTAAGGCTACTGCAGAGACACCACCGGGTTTATCGGTGAAGGACAACTCTGATTCCACGAAACGAACAAAGGGAACGCATTCTTTGAAGCACCAGGTAATAGTATTTCAATATTTTCTCTTAACTAATATCTGTAGTTATCTTGATTGTAATTGATTTATGTTCTATCTCTGTAGTTACCTGTCATGGAAACCACTCCAAAGACTAAACCTAGACACGAGGGGATACCTCCCTCTGGCTCCGGGCCTGTGAAGGCTCTTGCTGAAGATGGATATTCTACGAGGACAAGACAGAAAACCCCTCCAACCCTGGTCAGAAGGCCATCGTTTCCGGGACGGATGAGGCAAGTGGGCCGTGACACTCCAAACAACATGATGAATAATAATATAAATGTCAGTCCAAACGATCCCCGGAATCCTGATGGTAACTCCGATTCAGTTCCTTGTTCAAGAGAAATTGTGCCGCATTCTCAAAAGGCTGTAGCTACAGTCTCGAAAAGAGTTCAGGCAGACAGCAGCAATTCTGCATCCTCTTCAGTCTCGATTCAAGGATTTGAGCTTTGTGATGATGCAGCAACTCCTTTTATTCGCTTGTCTGAAGAGATACTTCAGAGTAATGAGCAATCCACTGAAATTGATATCATTGAATCGCAACCCTGCTTTTCAGCTTCCTCTTCACTCTCTGAAAATCTAGAAAATCAATACGTGGAAACTCATGGGAATAACAATAAATCCAAGAATCCACGAACCACAAAAATTGAATCTCAGCCCAGCTTTTCAGCCTCCTCTTCACTCTCTGGAAGACTGGAAACACATGTGGAAAATTATGGGAATAATGATAAATCAGAGAATCCAGTTACCACTGAAATTGAAGTCACCGAGTCTCAACCAAGCTTTTCCACCTGTGAAAGGCTAACATATTCATTTGAGGAAAATCATGGAAGTAAGGTTAAATCTATGGTGTCTTCTGTAGGAGTATGTGAAGAACACTCGGAGCATCGAGTTATGGATGCCAGTAGTGCCTGTGATGAGAAACTGACTTCACTTGCAACTATGGAGTCCTGTGAAGAATTACTTGAGGGAAAAAAGGATGCTCCAACTATCAACCTCAGTAATGAGACTGAAGTAGCGACCCACTCAAAAATCAATTCAGCATCTGATGATGATGATAAATTCACGGTGAAGAAACTAGTTTCCACAGTAACAGATTCTTCCCATTCCACAGTACCTCCTATTTCATCTAGTCTGAAGAATTTGCTGTCGGATAAGGGAATTCTTTTGCAAAATGCAATTATTGAAAAGCCAGCCGGTACTCATCTCCCACCAGCTTTTGATGATGTGATACATGTGATACGCCACAGTAGTTTCCGTGTTGGGGGTGAACATCCAGTAATGGAAAATGTTGACAAAATTGTGGATGTTGGGAAGCTGATAAATGTTGTTAGGGACGATGTTGATACAAAAGATACCGCTTCTTCCTCAGCTCCAAAATCTCCCAGTTGCTCTGAAAATACGACAACTCCAAATCTTTCTGAAAATCACGTCACTAAGGAAATAGATGTGAAGACTCCCACTAATCCCACTCCTGTGGTTCCCAATTCAGATTTATTAGAACCTGCAAAACCTAACCCTTCCATGCCAGAGGAACCTCCCATGAAGGAAACTTTAGACGTTACGTCCTTCAAGCAGAGAGCAGAGGCACTTGAAGGGCTATTGGAATTGTCTGCTGACTTGCTCCAGCAGGATAGACTGGAAGAACTTGCTGTCATTTTGAAACCGTTTGGAAAAGAAAAAGTTTCTCCCAGGGATACAGCTATTTGGCTTGCTAAAAGTCTTAAAGGCATGATGCTCGACGACAGTGGACGGAATGTATAAATGGCATTATTCTTTCTCTCTTTTCCTGTCTACTCATTATGCTTTTATAGTTTTAACCTTCTTTCCATTTAATGTTTCAAGTTCCACTTGAATATGACAGAAAACACTCAGATTTTTCTTTCACTCTCTTGTTTCAATTTTTCTAAGTCATTTAGTCTTGTCCATTGTATAGTATTTTACAATTTGTACAAAAACCTCGCAGAACTGGATGGTAAAATCTTGTACAATTTGACGTTTATTGTTGTTTTCATTCAATCAAACGTTACCACAAGCTTTCTTTAATATGAAAAATACAGTTATTGCTATGTAGAGATTATGTAGAGTGAGTATGTTCTGTTTGGGCTGTTTTTTATGATTTAAGTAATTTTACTGCACATTGTTAGTTGAGTAGTTGTCAAATAATTGTGTACTATATTCATTGATTCCAGGTCCAATAATAATATTTTTAGATCGCTTACATCGTTCCTTTTGATTCCGTCTGGCCAATATCTGAACCTCGACACTCGAACACAAGATGAAGTTTGATTATTGTTTTTTAAGAAGACTGCATATTGACATGTGTGTGCCTTCTTGATATATAACTTGCCTTTTATACCCTAGACGTATGATGACATTCAATGTCAAGTTCGCTTACTATAACCCTGCATGTCCTGAAAGGTTATTACTATTATTCTACTGTGGGGATTTATGACAATTTAATGGTAGTGGGACTATCTAGCTGAGTTTTGAAATTAGCTACATTATTTTTCACTTTTTTTTACAGTTATTAAGTAATGTGATGCTTCCTTAGGAGAAACTTTGAGACAACGAGGCAGATGCACTTTCAAAATAGTATTTGGATTGGCTGTGAAATGTACTTTGCAATAAACAGAAATGTTAAGTTTCCTTATTAGTGGGTCCTTAAGAACCATTCATTTACTGGTTGCATATATTTGGTTTGAATTTTTAATGGATTCTGAACTCGGTAGTAATTGTTATCATTTCTTATTTTCTCTCTACAGTGAAGTTTTCTGTTTTCTTGTTTACAGGTATAATTGATACCTGTAGATTGATATTGCTTGAGATATTGTTCCATCCCAAATAACCCACTAAACTTTCTACTGCCTGCAACAAAAGATTATAGAGGTAGTAAGAGACGTCTAATAAAAAATGCAAGCTATTGTTCATGCTGAAGCGCCAAAATTGCTGTTGAGATAAAAAATTTCCCCTGTAAGTTTTTGTTGGGATATATTTATTTTGTAAGCACTAGTATCTTAGGGATCTTTTTTAATCCTATTGCCAAAAAATATCAATCCGCTACATGGCTAGTAACTTGAACTTATGCAGGGCTCAGACTTGAGACTCTCATTGAATTTCTTGCAAGTCTGAGATTTTCTAAGTTCAATTTTTACTACCGTAGGTATAATCAGTAGTTATATAAGGCAAAACTTAACTCTATCTTATCACGTACTTATATTTGGATCGGCTATTAGGATCCTGTTCCAGTTTTACCTATCAAGTGGTGTCTCTAAATTTAACTGTAAGTGCATGTTTGGCTACCGGACATGGAAGGAAAGTACCGTGGACCAGATTTTCGCTGTCTTTTTCTTCTTTAATATGATCTGGTACTGACTAGTCCGCAGTTGTAGACATGTCATAAAGGTTCAAATCCCTTTTCATTGCCTGATTCATGTATTGGTGGATGGTCCACACAGCCATATGTAGCTTGTCTTCTAAGAGAAACTTGTTTTGGTGCCGCATCTCAATCCCTTTAGAACTTAATGCTCGCCAAGTCACGTAGAGTTTGGTAGAAATGAAAATATGCAAAAAGCTGGGCTTACATAGTTGGCCTTTTAAGCTGAGGTTTTCATCTTTGGTCTGTTTATGCGAAATCCATTGCTTAGACCATGGATGTTGGACAAGGCCAATAAGAAGCACACTCATATATGCTCTGATTGGTGTTTTCTAACAGTGGTTTCCCGTCCTTTAAAAGATAGCTGATGGAATTTTACGTGACCGTTGGCCATTTGCAACAGAAGTCATTGCTCTAATCTAATATGGATCTTGTTCTTCTTTGGGTATTTTATGCACATTCTTTTTCTGCTGGTCATCGACTCTGAGTGATGAATTTGTCTAATAACATCAGTTCACAGATTCTGCATGACTAAGTAACTATCTTTTAAAATAGTCAGTTCCCTGTCATTTCTTCCGTCTACTTATCATGTTTAATTCATTGTTTTTAATCTTAGTTTACGGTGTAGTTTGTACTGTTACCAGTTCACTCTGTGCTTTTCTTCTCTTTTTCCTTCGAGTCCATGTTATGAATTCACCCATCTTGAGAACTGAGAAATTGTATGGAAACATTTACCACCCTTAGAGCTATCTATTTGTTCTATGGATTTCCAGTTGGTTAGAAGTGCTAGATCACTGGTTGAGAGGAAGCTCTATGTTCAGTATGACGTAGCTTGAGCTGGTGGGACAAATTTTTTTGTAACTTATTGGAAGTCAATATAGTCTAGCTATGTTGGTTTGGATACAGATTTGAGCTTCCAGTTCATAATATCGCCGATTCATTTTCATTAGCCATTTGAAAGAATCCTAGTTGCCAGATCAAGCAAGGAACAAAATGTAATAGAGAAGAAGGATTCATGTAGTCGACCCAATTTTATTGGCAGTAAAGCTCAGTTTGTTTTGTCTGTGAACTTGCCTTTTGGATGCTCTGGAAATTATACCTCCATCCATCCAATTCGATAAATCAAGATATGGTTGGACTCTTCCTAGATTGAATTTGAAGGGTTGTCATGAATTTCCACCCTTGAGAATCTTGTATTAATTGTCCCTATAATTTGCTCTGTTCTCAATACTTCTCTATCTTGCTATCATTGGCTCAATTATCCATTGATCAACTCTTGCCTTGCACACAAAAATACCCCGCTTGCTTTATTGAAATGTAGCTCGCTTGAGAGCCACTCGCAACTTGCCAATTTTTTTATTTTTTATTTTTACTAATTTTCACTCATTCAACAAGCTGGCTCACACACGAGCTCACAAGCTCAGAACGAAATCGTGCGAGCTACTCCCAGATAGTCACGAACAATTCTGTCCACGGTTGTTTGCAAAAATGACTCCCTTCTATTTCTAATATTTAGAATGGATTAAATTAATGAATTAGAATGAATCAACTAATTGATGGGCCAAAGAATCGACAAACGGCTCGTCACACTTTTACCCATGATCCAATCACCTGTAATTGACAAGAGTTCGAGAGTCGACGAAGAGCTCGTCCCACTTAATCCTGATCCTTTCACCCATAAATCAGCCAGTTATTGATTTGATCCAAAATTCGACATATTAATGTTAATACTCATTTCCTTTTAATCAATTTCCGAATCAACATTAAATAATTAATAATTATAAGCCTATGTCCTCATTTTTTAAAATTTATTTTCAATTAAGCTCTTGTTTGAACCCCATTTTTGAGCAAAATAAATAAATTTTTAAATAGAGTTTTTTTTGGAGATTGTATTCTTAAAAAATAAAAAAAAAACTTTTCGATTTACATGTAATATTATTTTATAGAAAAATTCATTGAAAATGAGTTTTGAAAAAATGAATTTTTTAAAAATGAGGGCCAAACATAGGCTAAGTATATTATTATAATTCATAACTTTTATTAATTTTTATCCATATTTATTAAAATTTACTAAAAATATAGGGATGTCCTCAAATGAGATGTTGAAGGATTTTTAAAGATTATAAATTTTAATAAATTTTATGAATTTGAATAGATTTATACAAAATTCGTAACAATTTCATTAATTAAAAATAGTGAAATTTTAAAAAAGTTTGTTATATATATAAATTTAAAATTCATCAAAATCTTTTAAAATCGTCTATATTAATAAAGTTATTATAAATTCATGAGTCATAGACGATATCTAAATTTTAAAGGATTTCATTAAAATTCATTGAAATTTTAATTGGGATATCTAAATTTTAAGTGAAATTCTTTTATTAAAAGGAGACATAAATTTAGAAGGACACTACCTACCTTATTCTCGTTTCTCTGTCTCAATAATTTCCAAGCACAAATTACAGTGCCAATCTCAAAATATTCCCCACATGTTGTAATTTGTGCTTATGGAAGATCCTAACAGACCCGTCACGGGCTATCCCGTCAATCCCAATGGTTACTCCGCTAATCCGCCGCCCGCCGGAACCGCCTACCCCTACGCCGCTCCTGCTCCCAATTCCTACACCAGTTACCAAAACTACCCATACCTCCAAACAAGTTACCAATCTGATCCTGACTTGGTCCGACGCGCCACCTGTCTCCGCCGCATCTTTGCGTTCATTATAGGACTTGTTGTCGTCTTCGGTACAATCACCTTCATTGTCTGGATTGTCCTCCGCCCCCAGCTTCCTGAGTTTCGGGTTGATTCATTTTCGTTCTCCAATTTTACTATTACTAACGGTTCTCTTGTTTCATTTACCTCGGAAGCCCGGCTTACTGCCCGGAACCCGAACAAGAAAATGACAGTTGATTACGATGATATCGGAGCCGTGATTTTTTACAAATCACAGACCCTCTCGGATACTACTGTTCCACCCTTTTTCCAGGATACCAAAAACGAGACGTCGTTGAAGGCCAATTTCGCTGCCGCTGGGAGTTTTGTGGATAAGTGGGCAGTGGATGAGATAAATAATGAGAGGGATGAGAATGCGAATGTGGAGTTCAACTTGAGGATGCTTTCAAGGGTTAGGCTCGAGGCAAAGGCATGGACGACGAGAAACAGGTTGCTGAAGGTGTTTTGCGGGGATTTGGTTGTTGGATTTCCGAGTAATGGAAGATCGGGAACATTAACCAGTGGGCCAAAGCAGTGTCGTGTTGGGATTTGAGGTGAATTATTGAATTTCCATAGATTATTTGATTAATTACTAGGTGGCTTTTGCTGAATCAGTATCAATGTAAGCTGATAGGCGTACTTTTGATATACAAGGAATGTGGATTTGTAGGATAATCTTCGATGGTTCACAGATTGTTCTGTTTTTGTTATTTAGGTGGTTTATTTTTAATTAGTATTATTTACTAGTTTTGAATTGTAATATGATTTTGGTTCATCTGTCCATCTTTAGCTAATCCAAGGGAAAAAAAAGAAGAACGGGTTTTGTCATTGGTGCAATTTGGATAATAAAATGAAAAAGTTGTTGCCTTGGTTCGCATTTCTACACTAACAAACCTACATGCAGGGAGCGGGCAAAACTTGTCCTTAACGAATTAATATAAATTCCAACTAACAGAGGAATATGACTGTTATTCCAACTTCTTTGTCCAAACTTGTGGTACACTAAAGGAGAATAGAGAGAAGCTATTACCTATGTTTTATATATGTGGATGCACTTTTCCATGTAAACTTATATAGGTGCATTTTCTATAGATCTTTGATGGTGTGAAAGTGAAATGAACAACATTGCCTAATGTTTATGATGAGGTTGGTTCTAGCTGTAAAAGAGGCAGATTTATGTAAGAATCAAAGGAACAACAATATATTTCTTGAATTAAAAAAAATTACAGCAAGAAAAGAAATAACAAATAGCCATTTGAAAGGGCTAAAACTCTCCTAAAGGTCTCCCTTCTACTCACTCAATAAAAGCCTACTTTCTACCCTCCCTTCTACCTTTATTTATAAGGACTTCCTAACTTATTCCCCCCCACCCCAACCCACACTTGCCCTTGTAACAGAATTATGTTGCTGCCGTTTCTTCTAGTTGCTTCTCAATCCTTCTTGTTTATTTAGGTGGTTTATTTTTAATTAGTGTTATTTACTAGTTTTGAATTGTACTATGATTTTGTTCATCTGTCCATCTTTAGCTAATCCAAGGGAAAAAAAAAAGAAGAACGGGTTTTGTCATTGGTGCAATTTGAATAATAAAATGAAAAAGTTGATGCCTTGTTTCGCATTTCTACACTAACAAACCTACATGCAGGGAGCGGGCAAAACTTGTCCTTAACGAATTAATATAAATTCCAACTAACAGAGGAATATGACCGTTATTCCAACTTCTTTGTCCAAACTTGTGGTACACTAAGGGAGAATAGAGAGAAGCTATTACCTATGTTTTATATATGTGGATGCACTTTTCCATGTAAACTTATATAGGTGCATTATCTATAGATCTTTGATGGTGTGAAAGTGAAATGAACAACATTGCCTAATGTTTATGATGAGGTTGGTTCTAGCTGTAAAAGAGGCAGATTTATGTAAGAATCAAAGGAACAACAATATATTTATTGAATTAAAAAAAATTACAGCTAGAAAAGAAATAACAAATAGCCATTTGAAAGGGCTAAAACTCTCCTAAAGGTCTCCCTTCTACTCACTCAATAAAAGCCTACTTTCTTATTTATAAGGACTTCCTAACTTATTCCCCCCCACCCCAACCCACACTTGCCCTTGTAACAGAATTATGTTGCTGCCGTTTCTTCTAGTTGCTTCTCAATCCTTCTTGTTTATTATAGCCGCTCTACCTAACAGATTTTCCCTCCACTTGCCTTGTAACCGATAGCTGTTGCTCGTATATATTCTTCTAGTTGCTTCTCAATCCTTCTTGTTTCTTCTAGCATAGGTATACTTGATAGGTGGGCTATCAGTTTACTTGTTGATAGTTGATATCTATATTCTTATTTTTTTCATCTTATTCATTCTATAGTACGGATCAAAACCATGTTAACATTCTCATCTTCGTTATGTTCATCATATAGAGATAACGTCCCTTAACAGCTTAACGCTCAATAGCATGAACTATTGCATGGCTAATAACTATCGTGCATAACTTGTCTCTTTACCTTATTAGGATATTAGCACATAAAGTTCCCATAGAATTTCTTTGTTATGCACTACCATACTCTTCAAGTTCTACCTCGTTAATAATTGTAAATAAATATCCGAACAAATCAATCTTTGGGGAAACATTATTTTCAGTGGTAGTGAATCCACTATCACATTCTACGTACTTTGTCTTAGCTCTTGATGTAATACCTTTAGATTACAAAGTACTCCTCCAAAGTTCCAATTTAGTATAACCTCTCCTATTCTCATTCATTAGCGAATAACATTCAACAAGGAACCTCATCATGGATGTGACTTTTAAGTTTATCCTTGGCTAAAGTAAAAGTGCAAGGACTTTCGGCAATTCGATGCAAGCCTACATACTAGGATGCTCCGACATCTTCCTAGCGTATCCAAATTATTTTTAGTTTTGTATAGTTGGATATGTTGTCAGCACATTGTCGACGCATTGTGAGATATATTGTGTCTGATACCGACAGACGCCTACACTCCATGTGGTGTGTCCAAATTATTATTTGGTTTTGTAGAGTTCGGCATGTCACCGACACATTTTTCGACATGTTTTAGGTGCATTGTTCATATGCCAAAATTAACAAAAATAAATTTACTTACAATATAAAATATGAAAACGAAAAAAAAAAAAATTATTTTACTTAGCATGTTGAGGATGCATTATGTTACAACTTTTTTTGGAAAATTACATGTCGGATGGCTGTGTGTTTTCTTGCTTTGATGTGTTGAGGATCACTGATGCTTGAATTACACTTCAATTTGTGCTCAATCATCATCTTCCATAATTCATAGTGTGACGCTTCTCTATTTCTATAGGAGTTCTATTTGGACAATTGTTTTTCTCATCTTCATTCTCTTCATAACATGCCTTAATTTGGAGGCCCCAGTTTTTCCAGCAAAGTAACATTCTTATCTACAATGGAGTTAGACAACAACCCTGTATCCACTCTACGTATTTCATAAATAATTTGTTGAAATAATTATTCCTTCTTTTTTCTTTGGTTCACATGTTTAAAACAAATAAATTTCTATTTCTACTCCCTTTGGCAAGATATCTTGCTATAGCTCTCTCCATCATTTGTTTCTAGACAGCTGAACTACTTCTCATAAGCTTCAGCATAGAACTCCAATATCTCCCCTCTTGGTCTCCCATTTAGTTAATTTATGCCTTTTTACGAGTGTCGCCATTTTCATACGTAGGTAAGATTGTAATCATTTAACGCGAACTTTCTCACTCCACCACCATGCTTCACATTATTAGGTGGTTGTATACCTTTAAACTATCCTAATACTGCTCTGATATGTTTCAAATGCCACCTCTTTCCACATCATGCTACTATCTCTGTCTGTATCATATTTTCATTCAAAATTGTATACTGGACCTGTCTATATCCCATATTCAAAACTCTACTAAACTATCTTCAAAATTTACTTGTTTTTCTCCTTGCATGTTCCACTATCTTCCTTCAATTATGTAGTACTATGATTGTCTGATATTACTTAAAGACTCTACGAAGATAAGATGTCCATCAGTGACTTTTCTTTAATTCACTTACCCATTTTCCTTTAGTTTATTGTTAAGATTTAATGATTTACAATATTCCAAAATAATGTTTTAATACGAGGAACACATGGTGAATGCTGCGTTGGGTTATATAGTTATTGCTATGAAGAGATTTATGTAGAGTGAGTCTGTTCTGCTTCTGCTGTTTTTTATGATTTAAGTAATTTTGCTGCACACTGTTAGTTGAGTATTTGTCAATTGCGTGTACTACGTTAATTGATTCCAAGTCCAATAATGATATTTTTAGATCGCTTACATCGTTCCTTTTGATTTCCTCTGGCCACTACCTGAACCTCTTAACACTCGAACACAAGATGAAGTTTGATTATTGTTTTTTTAAGATGACTGCATATTGAAATGTGTTTGCCTTCCTGATATTTAACTTGCCTTTTATACCCTAGATGTATGACAATATTCAATGTCATAAGTTCGCTTACTATAGCCCTGCATGTCCTGAAAGGCCATTGCTATTATTCTACTGTGGGGATTTTTTTCCAGCCATATAGAGTAGAATGATTTTCAAGATTATTGACTTTTATGACAATTTAATGGTTGTGGGACTATCTAGCTGAGTTTTGATATTAGCTACATTATTTTTCACTTTTTTTTGAGTTTATTTACGTGATGCTTCCCTAGGAGACGCTTTGAGACAATGAGGCAGATGCACTTTCCAAATAGTGTTTGGATTGATTGTGAAATGTACTTTGCAATAAACAGAAATCTTGTTAAGTTTCCTTATTAGTGGTCCTTAAGAACCATTCATTTACTGGGCGCATATTTTTGGTTTGAAATTTTTAATGGATTCTGAAATTAGTAATTGTTATCATTTCTTATTTTCTCTCTACGGTGAAGTTTTCTGTTCTCTTGTTTACAAGTATAATTGATACCTGTAGATTGATTTTGCCTGTGATATTGTTCCATCCTAAATAACCCACTAAACTTTCTGATACTGCCTGCAAAGATCATGGAGGTAGTAAGGGAAGTCTAACAAAAAATGCAAGCAATTGCTCATGCTGAAATTCCCAAATTGCTGTTGAGATAATTTTGTGCCCTTCATGTTTTTGCTCATAATATCGCCTATTCATTTTCATTATCTATTTGAAAGAATCCTAGTTGCCAGATCTAACAAGGAACAAAATGTGATTGAGGAGAATGATTCGTGTAGTCGATCCGATTTTTTTGGGAGTTAAGCTCCTCGTAGTATACTCTGGAATTGAAATTTGTCTGTGAATTTGCCTTTGGATGTTCTGGAAAGTATATCTCCATCCATCCATCCAATTCAATAAATCAAATGGTTTTATTTTTCCTAGATTGAATTTGAAGGATTGTCGTGAATTTCCACCCTTTGGAATCTTTCATCAATTGTCACTATAATTTGCTCTGTTCTCGTTACTTCTCTACCTTGCTGTCATTGGCTCGATTATCCATTGATCAACTCTTGCCTCACACACAAAAAAATCCCGTACTTGCAAGAGGATGAGAGGATCTGGCCTTGATCCTGTTATGCTCACTGCCCGCTTCGTATTCGTCGTTCAGGGATACAATCTTGTAGAGTCGTGACACGCTCACCATTGATGATGCTTATGACCCTTTATTTTCAAAGAAGAAGATGAAGCATATCAAGTTTGCTTCTACTACAGGAGAAAATGACACATCAAGAAGGATTGCGATAAGTTGCATGGGATGGTAAATATAATTTATCTGCAAATCATGAGAGGCAATCTGATCATTCGGACGAGACTAATATTGCCGAGAGATTTTCGGATTGCGAAGGATTGGTTTAACATTGCATAGCTAGAATCCAAGTTGTATACTTGAAAATATTGATTTCATTCCATACATCGACATCGAGCCCTTTTTTCCTCGGTCCACATAAACAATGTAGTTAAACTCCCGTGATACTAATGATCTTAAGATGTGAAGGGATATCCATGCTTCCTTGGCATGTGTGGCTTGAAAAGGCTCATTTCTCCTGAGAAAAGCCATACAAATACAAACATCTTTCTATATATAAAAAGTGCCTATTTAACTGAATTTGTTGGTTTAACGGAAAAACTAACGGAATTTGTTGTTTTAACGGATTAGATAACGGAATTTCTTGTTTTAAACAAGCAGCTGCACCTTCCTTCAGTGTTTTTATCATAACTTTGTATTCCGATATTCGATTGAAACGATTCAAGATGCGTTGGAAAGCTAACCCATCTGACAACAACTTCGATTCAGATATAATTCTCCAATTCGATCACTTTCTATGCCAAAAATATGTCTCAATATAATGGACTATGTAACGAAATTTTTTGTTTTAAACAGGCAGCTGCACCTTTCTTCAGTGTTTTTATCATAACTTTGTATTTTGATATCCAATTGAGGCGATTCAAAATGAGTTGGAAAGCTAACTCATCTGGCTACAACTTTGATCAGACATCATTCTCCAATTCGATCACTTTCTATGCCAAAAATAGGTCTCAATATAACGGACTATGTAACGAAATTTCTTGTTTTAAACAGGCAGCTACACCTTCTTTCAGTATTTTTATTATAACTTTGTATTCTGATATCCGATTGAGGCGATTCAAAATGAGTTGGAAAGATAAATCATCTGGCTACAACTTTGATTTAGATATCATTCTCCAATTCAATCACTTTCTATGCCAAAAATATGTCTCAATATAACGGACTATGTAACAGAATTTCTTGTTTTAAATAGGCAGCTGCACCTTCTTTCAGTATTTTTATCATAACTTTGTATTCCGATATCCGATTGAGACAATTCAAAATGCGTTGGAAATCTAACTCATTTGGTTACAACTTTGGTTCAGACATCATTCTCCAATTCGACCACTTTATATGCCAAAAATAGATCTCAATATAACGGACTATGTAACGGAATTTCTTGTTTTAAACAGGTAGCTGCACCTTTCTTCAATGTTTTTATCATAACTTTGTATTTCGATATCCTATTGAGGCGATGCAAAATGCATTAGAAAGCTGACTCATTTGGTTACAACTTTAATTCATACATCATTCTCCAATTCAATCACTTCCTATGCCAAAATAGGTCTCAATATGAGACTAAAACACCGGAGCATAACTTTTCGGTTGGAAATTGATTTGTGATCATCTTTTGACTAAATTTGATCCCCTTGACATCTTCCTTTATCCAATTGACTCCGAGCACTCTCAAATCTTCATCGTGAGATTCGGCACAATTTTTAAGTATTTACATTTTAGCCCCCGAACTTTGGATCCCTTACAATTTAGCCATTTCTCCAAATTTGTCTACTTTTGCTTATTTTCTTCAATCTCACCAACCTACATCACAATATCAAAATCACACATCTAATTATTTATCAATTACATAAACATTATATAATTAATTATTTATAGGGTGTCTGTTTCTACTTTTCAGCAGAAATCAAGCCGTTGACAACACAATTCATGCCGTTGGGAGTCGCAATTTTGGACCAATTCTCTCACTGTAGGGCTGTAGGTTTGAAAACAAAACAGTAACATAATCAATTTTCCTTTCTCCTTGCAGCGGGTCCAGACACGCCCTTAATTAACCAAAAAAATTACATCTTTATTAATAACAAATTAATTATTAAACAAAAATATTAATATAAACTAAGCAAACGTCCATTGCACGTTGCTTGCACCTAGTATAAGAATAAAGTGGTAGCCAGGAAGATAAAGGAGGGTGGGACAATGTCTTTAAATGTGTGCTTTCATAACTATGAATGAAAAGTTGATTCTTGGGGATTAATCATTGTAAGTTGAAAAAATATTTGTAATTGAAATTTTATAAATGTCACGAGGTTATTAATTACTGAAGAAGTTAAAAAATGTCAAATACTTTAAAGAGCAAGTATGATTGACATCACTAACAAATTTGCTTTTAAATCCAAGGGAAAGTTGTGATTTTTGCATGTTTGTTCGTTTCAGCTGACAATGTGTGGCCACCAGCAACCACCACCACCAATGGTGGCTCTGCCACCGTCCTCAATGGGGCTAAAACTATCTCAATCAACTGCAATTTAAATAGATAGTTGACGTACAATTATGTTTTTAAAGGACACACCACTATATGTCATTTGATAAGACTTTGAACAGTCAAAATGCTTCTGAAACTAAGAAGTTATTTTTTAACATGTTTAAATAATTTTTTGAAAGTGTTTTATCCGACTGAAAGAGAATTTAGAGAAAGTTATCCTAAAATAGCTTTTTTATAAACTCTTCCATCGGAAGCAAAATTTAAAATAAACATCGTATTAATCTAACCTCGAGTAGACAAACAACATAAAATAACTATGTAAAAGTCTTTTGATGATGTTTGAAATTTAGAAGCAACTTGAGACTGTAACTTGATTAGAAATGATAAAATTTAGGGCGCGTATGGGTTGGATTAAAATCTAATTTTAATATAAGTCAAAGTCAAACAATCAATATTAACCACATATTTCATGGGTTCCACATCTTTTTAACCACACATTTCAAAAACTTCTATCACAATTCAGTAAAAATCTAATTTTAATCATCACCCAACACCATTTTAAACTATTACCCATGGTAGGTAAGATAAAACATGCACACGTTGTCACGTCAACGATTAGATCTGCAATTTTTAAACAAAAATTGTAGGCTTGATCGCTGACGTGACAAATCCACCATAGATAGGAGATAATTTTTGACCACTTTATATATCCCCTGTTTGGTTGGGATCAAAATCAAATTTTTAGTATATTTTGATAAGAATTGACAAAATGCGTTACGAGTCCCAATAAAATATATGTTAAAATTAATTTTAGACTTTAACTTAAATTAACATCTAAATTTTAATTTCTACCAGACACGAGCATAATTAATACTTATACATTAACGGAATAATCTTTTACTAAGAGCAATAACCTTTTGATTACCAACTATTTAAATTCATATAAAAAAATTAAATGAATCGCAATTAATTATGTTTTCCTAAGTTTCAAATGGCATAATTAAAATGACATTAAAGAGTTGACCATCTTTGTACATTGAGATCTACTTCTCTTACTTCAATGAAAATTTTATCGCAGGCTTTTATCATGTCAATGCCCAAAAATTATGGCACCATCGCACCACCCTCGTACACGTACCAAGTCTACGAGTGTCCCAAAGTCGTTACACAGAGGGATCCGCAATGAAATTAGATAAAATTTTATTTTATTTTCATTTTAATTAATTAATGCGTTGCACGAAATTAAATTCAAGTAATTAATTTCCTGCTGGAAACTGACACAATTTAATGTTGAATGCAAGAGCTATGATGGTAGGTTACGTATCCGACAACAAATTTATAATGTCATATGTGAAGTCTTTATCTGCATGGGACCCCATCATACTTCTTCAACATCTTCGGCCTTTGCCTAGAAAATGTCCTCGTGTTTCGCTCGCTCCACTGAACAATATTGAACGATATTAAAGAACACTATCCAATAGATTAAGATTGATATCGCTCCACTGAACAATATTGAACGATATTAAAGAACACTATCCAATAGATTAAGATTGTTCGAATGCCTATCAAATGCTCTAATTTAAGGGGTCTGTCGTGACTTTTGTTTTTGCTTCTAGTCTTCTACTTATAGAGAGTTTATTGAAAAAGTTACTTTGTGTTAATTTCTTCTAAAAACTCTTCTAATTTTAAATATATTAAAAAATAGTTACTTAATTTGAGAAACAATTTTTAACTTTTCACAAGATTGACGAATAGACCCTAAGTCTTAGCAAAACATAAGCCCCAAGACAAACAAATTCTCGCTATAAATGAGATTTTACCCAAGTTTCATGACTCTAGGAGAGAAATTTCATAAACAAAATCTTGAACCATTTTTCTCACCCGAAAGCTCGTAACCCCTACAAAATGAAGGAAGATTGCGGCCAACACGATGACGACGGGAAGAAGAAGCTCTTCCGTCGCCTCTTGATGGCCTTATTCAGCTTCATATTCATCGTCCTCTTCATCATCCTCCTCGTATGGCTCATCCTCCGCCCGGCAAAGCCACATTTCATCCTCCAAGATGCCACCGTATACGCCTTCAACCTCTCCAACCCCAACCTTCTCACTTCAAACCTCCAAATCACCCTCTCCTCTCGCAACCCTAATGGCAGAATCGGCATATACTTTGATAATCTCGACGTATATGCATCGTACCACAGCCAACAAATTACTCTCCCCACATTGCTTCCTTCTACTTACCAGGGACACAAAGATGTTACAGTTTGGTCGCCATTTTTGTTCGGGAATGAAGTGCCGGTGGCGCCGTACCTTGCTGTTTCTTTGAACCAGGATCAAATGGTCGGAACAGTGTTGATTAACTTTAAGGTGGGTGGAAGAATCCGATGGAGAGTTGGCTCATTCGTGTCTGGGAAATATCATTTGTATGTGAACTGTCCAGCTTATATAAATTTTGGTAATAAAAACAGTGGCATTGGCATTGCTGTCGGAAATCCTATCAAGTATCAGTTGATTATGAACTGCCATGTTGATGTATGATGTTTAAGCTGTTCAATTACTACCTCTTATTGTTATTCTATTTTTCTTTGTAAACTTTTTTTTTTTTTCATTTTATTTGATCTTGAAGTTGAAGTCCTTCTGGGTTGTTAATGTTTTGGAATTAATATTCAGTACAAAATATTGGTAATTACAAAATTAGTACGAACTTGTTGCCAAAAATTGATTATTCTAGAATAATTTAGATTATAATTACTGGAAAAAAAAGTGCATAATTAATTAATTACCTTATTCAACTTTTTCCTTTGTTTTGGATTTCATCTCGTTTTTTGATGAGATAACAGCATAGTTTTAGGATCATGTTCCATGAAGATTGACATTTGACACCAAAATCAATACCATTTCGAAATCATTTTTTTTTGTCCCCATTTTGTAATTCATATGGTTTGGTTTGAAGTAAATTTTGATAAAAGTTGATGTAATATGTGATCGAAAAGTTATGTGTCCCATGAAATGTACGGTTAAAATGTATTTTTCTCTTTCTTATTTTCAAACATATATTATTCAATAAAATAATATTACACGTAAATCCAAAACTTTTCGTTATCTTTTAACCATACATTCTCAAAAAATTTACTATTAAAGAATACATTTCATCCCAAAATCACATTGAAATGGAGTCCTAAAAGCAAATTTTTTTAGCTGAATCGAACAAGGACTTAGTATTTTTATAAAATTAAATGGAAAACGATCTTTCAATATCAATATAAATTATATATCCCTCTTGTTCGGCTATAGTGAAAGCCCTGAATTTAGAGCTACCAACTCAGTTCCAACAATGCATTTCTTCAATTCAGTAATTACTCGAGAAATCCCATTTTCTTGGTAAGAATTGAACGGAATGTCAAATAACATGAATCGCAACGCAGTTAAACCAAAGTAACTATATTCTTTCTATGGCATATTTGTTGAAGTAGACTACATGGGAGTGGACAATTATGCAAAGGAAAAAAAAAATTGTTTTACTATGGTGTCTTTTAGGGCCTGTTTGGTAGGGATTCTCATTTTCTACAGTAAATCAATTCTCATTTTCAACCACACATTCTTCAATAAAATAATATTTTCCATCGCATTAATAATTTTTTCTTCTTTTTTAACCACATAATAGGTTAAAAAATATTTTCCACCATTTGTGCATCAAAGGGTTGTACCTAGAAAAAGTGAGGATAACATTTTCCATGGAAAATTTCGCATATCAAACAGTCAAAAAGTTCCATGGAAAATTACGCGAATCAAACAGAGCCTAAATCAATTCTCATTTTCAACCACACATTCTTCAATAAAATAATATTTTCCATCGCATTAATAATTTTTTCTTCTTTTTTAACCACACATTTCCCATCATATCACTATTCAAAATCAATTCTTCCCCCAAAAAATCCATACCAAACAAGCTCTTAATAAGTTTCTGCCGCTATATACCCACCACAAGTTAGCAAAATAACTACTGATTAGGTTGTGTGTCGAAACAGTGCATGCAAAATTATTGTCATTTGTCAGTGTCTCCATTCTCCCTCCTTCAGTTCTGGTGGTGAGCCCTTTTCACATGCAATCTGACTTCAATAATGAATTAATTTAGTACACATTATTAATTTCATATTGGACAATTTTCTTGACCCAAATTACCTTCATCTACCTTCAAATTTTTTTTTTTTTAAACTTTTATCTCAACTATGGCCAAAGAAATATGTTGACCTTGATTTTATATGTTAAGAGGCTAATCGCTTCGAAATTGCACTGCAACAAATTATAGCACCTCACCTCGAGCATGGAGGGTTAGTGTCTATATGACGCATCAGTTGACGTGATGTATCACTTCAACTACCCGTGTGATGATGGCCTCGATAGGTCAGGTAGGAATTAGTGATGTGAAATGCGGATTTAGACTGGTTTGTTAGTAACTTAGTTGATAGTCACATGGTCGATGTTTGGAGTTTCGTCGAATCAGATGTAACAAAATATATAGCGTAGGCACCTATTTTGTTTAACTAAAAATCAAAATTTTAATAGATTGTACTAAAGATTGATGAAATGTGTAATTGAAAAGTTGATTAAAAAAAAAAAAAAGTCGTAGATCCATAAAATGTGTGGTTCAAAATAAGTTTGAGAAAAAATAAATTTTGAAAAATAGAGGTCAAACATAAGGTAAATATTATCTTTGTATATACTTTCTCATTCCCTGGTAAGAAAGAACATTGCACGAGTGGACAACTTATTTCTTTGACGACAATCTTAGCCCTCTTCAACTCTAGACCTACCTCGTGCATTTGATGATTAAATCAAATTTATTAAAGTAATCACCAATTGAAAGTAATGATTTTTTTTTTTTTAAACTTTTATCTCAACTATGGCCAAAGAAATATGTTGACCTTGATTTTATATGTTAAGAGGCTAATCGCTTCGAAATTGCACTGCAACAAATTATAGCACCTCACCTCGAGCATGGAGGGTTAGTCTCTATATGACGCATCAGTTGACGTGATGTATCACTTCAACTACCCGTGTGATGATGGCCTCGATAGGTCTGGTAGGAATTAGTGATGTGAAATGCGGATTTAGACTGGTTTGTTAGTAACTTAGTTGATAGTCACGTGGTCGATGTTTGGAGTTTCGTCGAATGAGATGTAACAAAATATATAGCCTAGGCACCTATTTTGTTTAACTAAAAATCAAAATTTTAATAGATTGTACTAAAGATTGATGAAATGTGTAATTGAAAAGTTGATAAAAAAAAAAAAAATTGTAGATCCATAAAATGTATGGTTCAAAATAAGTTTGAGAAAAAATAAATTTTGAAAAATAGAGATCAAACATAAGCTAAATATTATCTTTGTATATACTTTCTTATTACCTGGTAAGAAAGAACATTGCACGAGTGGACAACTTATTTCTTTGACGACAATCTTAGCCCTCTTCAACTCTAGACCTACCTCGTGCATTTGATGATTAAATCAAATTTATTAAAGTAATCACCAATTGAAAGTAATGGTGAGTTTTCAAAAGGGTAATTCACACAAAATGTTCTCATCGTTTGCACTTATTGTGCAAATCGTTTTTATCGTTTTAAATTTGACATTTACACCATCATTTTAACATTTCTTGCGGAGTTGGTCATTTTCGTCAATTTCTTTTGTCAAATATGGATAATTGGTGCAAAACGTTTATATCGTTTGCATTCATTGCATAAAATGTCCCCATCGTTTGCCTTTATTGCAAAAAATGTATTTATTGTTTATTTTTTCATTAAAGCATTGTAAAATAGTTAATTTACCTTCCCCTTAAAAAAAAAAAGAAATAATAAATAATTTTAGTCAAAGTCCTAAAATTTCCAAATAGTGAAAACAAGGTCCACTTAAAATAATTCATTACATATTTTAAAAAAATCAACTTTTCAAAAAAAAAAATCAAAAATTATTCTCCTCCTGACTGGGTTTGAATTTTAACTGTTAGGATTGGGATTTAGATTAATCTTGAATGAACCTCTAATGGAAGAAGAAATTTCATTTTCAAATATCATTTTGTAAGGCAAAAAAATTTGAACAAAATCATAGCAAAAATTTTAAAGTTAATGCAGTATATCGAGGAATGATCCAATGAGTATCGGTGCTCATTTTATACTAAATACGGGTGATATGTCATATTAATTTATTGGTGAATAAAAATTTGGTGGATCTCAACATTTGAGTTAAATTTATTATCCACGAATGAATTAGTATAACATGTCGTCGATATTTAGTATAAGACAAGTACCGATACTTATTAAATCATTTTTATATACGTATATGTGTGTGTGTAATCAACAATTTGATGAAAATAGCTAAATTTCTAAAAAAAACTTGCAATTTCGATGAAAACAAAAACATATTGGATCACGTAACTTGATACAAGAAAATAGCTAAATCCCTGGATTGTGCCGCTATGGGATGGGGAGAATGGGTGGTGGTGGGTGGCAGGGTGCAAAATTGGATAGGGATTAGGGAAGAAAAATCATTTTTTTTAATTTTTTATTATTTTCTTACCGTTATTATACTTTTAACTCTCTTTATAATTATTTTGGAACTGGTGGAGGGTAGGATGGGGGTTGGGATAGGTGGGGGTTAGTTTGGAAGATGAAATATTTTTTATTAGTATGTTTTAAATTATTTTACGTGAGACTCTTTTGTATTTTTTAAAAAATTTGGAACTCTAGTTGCAATTATTTATTTTTTTATATTAACTATTCTTTTCAATTTGTTTATTGTCAAATTTAAAATGACAGGAACGATTTGTGCAATGAGTGCAAACGATTGAAACATTTTGTGCTAATTACGCTTTCCAGAAAAAAATTTGAATTCGCCCCTTCAGCTAATACCATAACAAAAATGATTTTCTTCACCATTAAAGTTTAGCTTACAAATTTAAATTCCAATTGAACTATTTTCAAAACTTCGAGGACTAAAATGGATATTACTCGATCATTGAAACAGGGCTCAAGCCCAATCCTAGGGACACCTTGACGTCAACATAGAAGAAGCCGGGCCCAATAAATATCTCCACTAACATTACTAGCGCATTACGCATGACACGTGGCGAGCTGCTAGTTGAAGTCAAAAGTAAAGCAACGCGCCAAAAGATCGCCAGCTTAACGGTGCGAATTAAAGGCGCGAATCGCCGATTCGAACCTGATTAGATACCCACTTAAATTACTATTTTAACCAAAAAGGGTGAAAAACAAAGTCAGCTGAATTATTATTCAAGAGAAATGCTATTCATCCCCAATGAGGATGCATCTCCAGTTTATGTGCCGTTAATGTGGTATTAAATGATATGTGAAATTAAATAAATCATTTAATTTCACATATCATTTAACCAATCATTTACATCCACATAAACTGTGGATGCATCCCCACTGGGGATGAATAGCATTTTTCATTATTCAACCCATTATTCTTCAAATTCGGTCACTTGGTAATTTAATTTTTAATTAATGAATACATGCGAAA